TTTAGGAATCCTGGCCGAATCAAAGTCAGAGGACAGCACTCTGTCCAGTTTAGCCACCTCGGTCGAACTTCCACCAATCGAGCCTTGCCCTAGCTCAGTCACCAACAGACCCTCTGGTATGATAGGGCCTTTGCCCTTATCCTTCTTTCCTCCAGCGCCCGCCTAATTTCCAGATAGAGCGCTACGAGGAGGGAGGAGGTCAGCCGGCTCAGCAATATGAATGTCGGTCTTAGGCCTTGCCGACATGGTATGTTGAGGAGGGGGTTGTGGAAAATTTTGGACAGACGCCACATGATGAGAAATGGGATGTTGAAGATTTAGGGTAGGTGCCACAACGTCCGCCCGAGATGAAGAAGGATGCCTTTCAGAAGAAAGCAGCTCAGACAGCATCAAGACCAAGTTGGTATATTGGGCTAGGGGTTGTTCCGGATTTGGCTCGGGTGCCAACCTAGAAGAAGTGCCTTTCCAATTTTGGCCCTCTTCAAAGGAGGCGCTCACTTTGATTACGGAACATGCACTACCACTAGCAGTGCTTGTATTTGTGGTCTCCCCGTCCATGTTACTCAAATCGTATTTGACTAAGGGGTCCACCAAACTTCCGTCCGGATTCCTCGGGACATCGTTTTCGTGCGTTTGTCTCGTACGCGCCATGTTCGACTGCAGGGACAGAGAAGAATAGGTGGGGGTGAGTTGGTACGCACTAGAAATGGTCCCACACCATAGAGAAGAGGACTCATCCCCGTCCACTCTAGACTCCTCAGTCCCAGGCGAACGACCGACCTCATGAAGAGAAACCGACGAAGCCGAGTGTCGTGCCAGTTCGTGTTTAAAAAAAACAAGTATGGAAAAGAAAAGAAAAATTTTAAGAACGAGGAAGCAGTCGGTTACCTCTGTTCGAGTAGAAAAATTAAGAAGCTTTGAAGAACTTGGATGAAGTTGAGCAGAAAACTCAAACTCTTGTCAGGAAACATTAGATACTCGGCGGAACTCTTGAAGATTAACGAAGAAAATTACTTTCTCTTTCTAGAAGCTCTGGCCTCTCTCTAGAAAATGCAAAAATCCAGAACAAAATGAAGTCAATCAAGCCTTATTTGTAAGCAAAAATTTATGAGGGCAAAATGGTAAAACCATCTTTCCTGCCTAAACGTTGAACGGTTAAAAAACCGCTCCGTCATATAAGACGGGAAAAGGTACAATCCCACTGACGGTGCGTTAAATAAGATGGCCAGGTCAGCAAAATTTGAACCGTCATTCCGCCAAATACGGATGACAGATGTCCCCCTCAAACCAATCGGCACAACCTGTCCGCCCTATTTTAAGACTCAAAGTCATTAAGTAAAATCAGGCAGACTAAACAAGGCATACAGCACAAAGGAGAAATCCCTCTGATGGACGAACGACAACGTCCGTCTTCCACCAATGATAATGCTCCATCCGCCTAACACTCGGACGACACAGGACGAGTAAAAAATTAGAGGAGGCGGCCCGTATGGTATGAGTAACCCCCTCTGAGGGGCAAATGTTTAGGGTAAAAATACCTCAACACGTGGTCCATCCTATAGTGACACGTGGCCTAATTAACGGCCGACACGCGTCCCTATAGGAAGATGACACGTGTCAAGCATAAAGAGCACCTAAAATGAGAGAAAAGGGCCTCCTTACTTCAAGAGGCCCAAATCTTGAGAAAGCCGCAAAACGGCACCCTATATGGACATGTGCTTTCACCTTATTGCGCCGCCAATCAGAGCACGCCATCCTAGGTTATCAAACCCTAGAGGACACACTTTCCCACCCCTATAAATACCCTAATCATTTATGATTGGAGAGGTGGATTAAGACATATCATTATAAAAGCACTAAAAGCTCCAACTTCTCTCTACTTTCTCTCTCTACATTTATTCCGTTTTCGGTCACTATTGATCGTCGGAGGCGAATATTCTGTCAAACGGAATATTCGCTATTTTTCAGGTGTCCGCATCCATCCGGCCGTGTTAAAGACCAGTATCCCGAGGGATTCTGAAAAACCCTGAAACACCATGCCATGCCAATTACCAATATACTATCTAAAAGCCCGCGTTCACTTCACCTTAAAAAAAATATTTAATAAAAAAAATTATTTTATATGTATAAATTATTTATTTGATTTATTTAATTCATTTTATTTATAAATTGAAAATGATTCATTTCGTTTTAAATAATTAATTATTTAGATATCAAATAAGTGTGTATAAAATAATATGAATCATTAATTGAGCCAATAAAAATGTTTTGAATTGGGTCAACATCAATTTAATTGTTGGATCAACTTGTTGGGATTTAAAGAACACTTAAGAGCCCAACAAGTTGGCCTTAAGGGCGAAGTTAAGGAGAAGTAGGATTATTAATGGAAGTTTTGGAAATAAGTGTTTTTATTTTAAAAAGGGGAATATAAATACCTTAAAACACCAAGAATTTTACGCTCTAAAATCATATTGTCAGATTTCACAAAAACCCCAAAAGTTTTCCTCTTATTTTCTCTCTTCTTTTTCCTCTCTTTTTCTCCTCTTTCCCACGCCACTCTCTTTTCTCTTTCACTCACACCGGCACCACCGGTGTCCTGCAGCAGCAGCCGGCGACCACCAGCCGGCCACCATCCCTCCTCTTCTCTCTCTCTCTCTCCTTACGGTTTGGTTTTAAAAAAATAAAATAAAATAAAATAAAAAATATTTCTTTTCCTAATTTATTTCTAGCTTGTTTTAATTAATTTAAAGCATGATTTGGATTATGTTTCGGTATTGATTTTGGGAATTTGATGTTGTTAATTTATTTCTATAATTTTCAGATTTTAATTTACTCAAAAACCCCAATGTACAAACCCTAGAATTTGGGAATTTAATTATATAGTTAGGGATTGATCCTAGGTTGTTGTGCTTGTTAAATTAATGATTTAAACATGTGTCTAATGAGTTTTAAGCCCTCAATTAATGCTAGAATTTAATTATACACACTACTTTTTAATTATTGTGTTAGAGTTTGATTACCCATAAAAAGGAAAAAAGGTTTTTATAGATTTAAATATGATTTCCTAGTCTATTAGTGATGTATTATAGTAAATAAGTATGTTGGAATTGTATTTAAGTCATGAAAACTAAGTATTTTTGAAAGGATTTAAAGCACCCACTTAAAGAAAAGGTTTTATTGCTTTTAAACCATTAAATTGGGTTACTTAGTAAGGTTTAAATTGTATTATAGTTGCTGGAAATTTATGAGAATAGTGGATTAATTATTGTTATGTATTTTTATTTCTAGGAACCTTTGAGCTAGGTGATTTCTAGCGAGTGTAACCGAGTTTAGGTATTATTCAAGGTACGTATGCGCATAAGATTAATTGTGTATGCGTAGTATAATGCTAGAAATATAAAGTGTGTTTAAGTGATCAATTAGTAGCATGTTTGGTTGATTATATGCTTGGATTTGATGATGGTTGATCATGAATTATTAAGCAAGCATGGGAATATGTTATTTGAGGCATGATACAACTTGAATATGCATTAATCATGCAAGTATGTTTTATTTTCAAATAACATGAAAGCATGAATTTAATAACCAAGGCTTATGTATGTTTCAAGGAGCAAAAGTTAGAATTATTGAGCATGATTCATGATTTTATTTCTCACCCATTTATTATTGGTGTTGAGTCAAGAAGCTAGTTTAATTATTTACTCACTCATGTAAGTTGAGTTTGAGTCAAGGAAGTTTAGTAGTGCATCTTATGCACTAAGGTAGTAATCGAGCAATTTTGTGCACAAAACTAGGCAAGGAACCTTAATTAAAATAAATAGTATGTGCTCACTAATTAATTCAAGAATTAAATGGATGTACATGTTGATTGTTATTATGTTTGTTCTTGATTGATTAGTTGGAGTCATCACAAGTTAAATTGGTAAATCACACAAAGTGTAAGAGGATACGCACCAAAACTCTTGGAACGTATAAACCTGGAGTATGAACATATGGGGGAGTTATGGGGTTTTATATTTAACCATAGCTTTTACAAGGGTATAGGACGCTCTACTTTCTTTTATTATTAATGTGCTGGAATTCCGTCATAAGGGGACATAGTACGTGCCAATTAGGGTAGCTCCCTAATTGGAAGCTCAATATTTTAATGGGCTATTTTCAAGGAAGGAAACCCGTTCGATGAAGATATTCTACCTGACGTTGAATATTGAAGCTCTGCCTTGATTTTCTATGTGTTGAGTAGTAAACCACCTTACTCTATGATGAATGGCTTTGTTAGAAGAGTATGGGGTAAAATGGGTATTGACAAGGTGTTGGAGGTAGGTAATGGTATTTTCTTGGTAAGATTTAGGTCTGTTGAAGGGAGAGACAAGGTTCTAACTGGTGACCCGGTGTTATTTAATAGAATTCATGTAATAATAAGGAATGGGTGTCTGGGTTGGATATTAGAGCTGAATTTGTTCAAGAGGTTCTTGTTTGGATAATATTTCTAGGGCTTGACCTTAGATATTGGGGTCAGAGTACATTGCAGAAGCTGGCTATATTAGTTGGGAAACTAGTTAAAACAGACCAGGCCACAACTAATAAATATAATTTGGCTTTTGCTATAATGATGGTGGAGGTTACTATAAATGAAGATTTACCTGATGAGAGTGAGTTTGAGAATGAGAAAGGAGTGTGTATTGTTCAGAAGGTGGTGTTTGAGTGTTGGCTTGTGATTTGTACCATGTGCAAGGGTATGGGTCATAAGCATGAGCAGTGTCCTAATCATAAAGTGTTGGCTAGAGAACAATGAAAAAAGAGTAACTCTGGTCAGAGAAAGGTATGGAGACCTATTTAGAAGAAGGTTACTGATTTCTAGCAAATTTTAGGGGTGGATACTAGTCAAGGGAACTCAAGGAAAGAGGGAGTTGTAATTGAGAAAAGAAGGAGTAATGTGGGGGTTCAGAAGGTTGGGATAAGCTCTGAAGATGTTGATCCTGGTTTGGGTGGGGATGGTAATGGGATGGATGAAAGTGGGGAGGGAGTTGTTACTTCTCATGGATAAGTGGGGATTTTGGAATATTAGAGGCTTTAATAAGACTAGTAGGGTGTGTGATGTACTTTGCTTCCTGAAACATCATAACATTGGTCTGTTTGGGCTTCTTGAAACTAAAGTGAAGGATGGAAAATTTGCTGGTGTTTTTCCCAAGTTTGGGGGTGATTGGAGTGTTATCACTAATTACTCGAAGCATAGGGGAGGGAGAATTTGGGTTATATATGGATGCCTGGGGTGTTTCATGTTGATGTTAGGTCAATTGTTTCACTTGGTAGCAAGGCATATTGCTTCTGGGTGGTCTTTTGATTATACGGTTGTGTATGGTTTAAATGAGGCTAGTCAAAGAATGGAGTTATGGGATAACCTCAGAAGTATTAGAAGAAATATTCATGGGCCTTGGATGATAGGAGGAGATTTCAATAATGTGTTAAATCTTGGTGATAAGGTTGGTTCACCAGTCACTTTGGTGGAGGTGGAGCAGTTCAGAGAATGTCTTAAGGATTGTAACCTAATGGATTAGAAGACTGAAGGGTTCTTTTCCACTTGGAATAATAAGCAAGATGGTGTTATTAGAGTGTGTTCTCGGATTGATAGGGTGGTTGTGAATAGTGTATGGCAGGACTCTTTTCCAGATGTACAAGCCAGATTTCATGCAGAAGGAGACATTGATCATTCTCCATGTGTCATTAATTTTTCTTCAAGGGTTAGAAGTTCCAAGAAGCCTTTTAGGTTTTATAATATGTGGATTGACTCTCCTGCGTTTTTGAGCTCTATGTAGGAAGCTTGGTCGAGTGATGTTCATGGTATAGAGATGTTTAAAGTGGTGAAGAGGCTAAAGAGTGTCAAGCAGGCTTTAAAGGATTTGAACCTGACTCATTTTTCAGATGTTGAGGTGGCTGATGCTGAAGCTCATAAGAAATTGGTGGAAGTACGGGTTCAGCTAAATGATGAGCCTAGAAATCTTGATTTCATTAAGTTGGAAATAGAGGAAAGGAATGCTTATGAAACAGCTCATAGTGCTAGATTCAAATTCCTGAAGCAGAAGGCAAAGTTCCATTGGCTCAAGGATGGAGATTTTAATATTGCGTTCTTTCATGCAAGTTTGAAAAAGAGAAGAGTTCAAAATAATGTGTATTTAATTATGGACAATGTCGGGGTGTTGCATAGTGATCTGGATGTTATAAGCTCTGATTTTATTGATTTTTACACTAATCTACTAGGGTCTCAATCTGCAGCTACTGGCAAGGTGCATCTAAAAGTTATTTCAGAAGGGCAAGTGTTATCTGATGAAGCTGGGTTGGGTATTTCTAGGCCATTCTCTAGTAATGATGTAAAGAATGCTATTTGGAGTATCCAGGATGACAAAGCTCCAGGCCCGGATGGTTTTTCGAGCAAGTTCTACAAAGCTTTCTAGGGTGTGGTTGGGAATGATGTTACTGCTATTGTGCTTGCTTTTTTCAGAAATGGGAGTATGCTTAAGCAGGTCAACAATACTACTTTGACTCTTGTTCCCAAAGTTGAAAATGATGACAAAGTTTCCCAATTTCGACCCATAGCTTGTTGTAATGTCCTATACAAAATCATTTCAAAGATGCTCTGTGCTAGGTTAAAAGAAGTGTTGCCTGGATTGATCAGTTAGAATCAAGGTGTGTTTGTGAGTGGAAGATCTATCATTAATAATATCTTGATTTGCCAAGATATGCTTAAGGAGTATAACTGTAAGGGAGGCCACCAAGGGGTACTATAAAGGTGGACCTTAGAAAGGCTTATGACTCTATAAGTTGGGATTTCATTGCTGAAATGCTAAGAGCTCTGAACTTTCCTGAGGTTTTTATTGGGTGGGTGATGCATTGTGTGCTACTCCTTCATTTTCTTTAATGTTGAATGGTGGGCTGGATGGATACTTTAAAGGGAAGAAAGGTATTAGGCAGGGAGACCCCTTATCCCCACTGCTTTTTGTAATTGTTATGCAGTACCTTTCAAGATTGCTTAGAAAAGTGGGTAAAAAGAGGTAGTTTAGATTTCATCATAGATGTTCTGGGCTTGCTTTGAATCATTTAATGTTTGTAGACGATTTAATGTTATTTGCCTATGGGAATAAGAAGTTTGTTTCTCTTTTGATCCAAGCTCTCAAAGCTGTTGAACATTGTTCAGGTTTACAGGTAAATTCTGAAAAGACAACTGTTTACTTTGGTTGTGTTCCAAAGACTGTTCAACAAGGAATCCTGGAGTTTTTTGGGTTTGTTCAAGGTACTTGTGCGTTTAGATATCTTGGTATTCCATCGGATACTAGAAAGCTCAAATCTGCAGAGTATGATGTTTTGATTGATAAAATTCTTCATAAGATTCATTGTTGGAGCAGTAGGCATCTTTCTTATGATGCAAGAGCTTTGTTGGTGAAATTCAATTCTTATGAGCCTGCACACGTATTGGGCCCAGGTTCTGCTCATTCCAGTTAATGTGATGTAGAGAATTGTTCAAGTTTTTAGAGCCTTTCTTTGGGATGGTGCAACTGTCCTTGCTAAATCCCCCCCATTGCTTGGGATTGGGTCTACAAACCTAAGAATCAGGGAGGCATAGGCATTCGAGACTACATTAAGTGGAATAAGGCTACTCTTGGTGGATATGCTTGGAAAATTGCAACGAAAATGGACTCACTTTGGGTCAAGTGGGTTCATAGTGTATACATTAAGGAGCAAGATATCTGGGATCTGGTTCCTAAAAGGAGGGATAGTAGGGGCTGGAAAATGCTCTATAAAGTAAGGGATGATCTGAAGCAAGGTTTTATTGATAATAGGTGGATGAATAGCAAGTAGAAAATTGCTACCTGTTATAAGTGGCTTTTGGGATCTGGTGATAAGCAGCCTTGGACTAGCTGGGTATGGAATAGGTTTAATATTCCAAAGCATTCCATGATATGTTGGTTAGCAATTCAAAAACGACTAAGATCCTAGACTAAACTGTGCAGCTATGGTTTCTGTGACAATGATTTGTGCTTACTGTGAGAGGAGGAGCGTGAAACTGAAGATCACTTGTTCTATACTTGCCCTTACAGTTTAAAATGTATAAAAGAGATCTGTGCTTGGCTGGATGTTCAGATGACTCACGTTGGAATTGAGGTGGCCTGGAAGAAATAGAGAAGGGTTATGACTTCTAAAGTGCAGCAACAAGCAATCCTTGCAGTGCTTGCTGCTGTAACTTACCACATTTGGGTGACTAGGAATCATGCGCTTTGGCAGAAAGCTATTATGTTGCCTAGTATAATGGTGCGAGCTATCAAGCAGGAAATTTGTGGTAGATTACCACAGCTAATCTCTCATAAATGGTCTAGGAAAGATTGTAAATAATTACAAAACCTTAAGTGTACAATGTAGTGTTGTTTAGTTGTTTGTTTACCCCGTTTTTGTTTGGGTGTTGTAGTTTGTTGGTGTTATTTGGTTGGCTGTGTTTTTGGCTTTGCCTTGTTGGTGTGTTGTATGAGGGCTTTCCCTCCCCCCTTTTTGGTAATGAAATTATTATTTATTAATTAATATTGTTCGATGTGTAATCCAAAATTATTATTTATTAATTAATATTGTTAGTATGAGTCAAAGGTAAGTTGACTAGTGATTGAATTGCGAGCATGTTTTCATTATTTTATTGATGCTAGGATATTCATGTTAGTGTGGTGCATATTTACCCAACTTTTGCTAATTCGTACTTTTGTGTTTGTTTTTGGCTTTCCTTTGGATTGGCCCTACTATGACCCATTTATATGGTGAGTAGAGGGGTTGAAATAAAGAGAAAGTTACAAGTACTTGAAGCATGAAGACCATGAAGGGAATAAGTGCAAAGAGTTACTTGTTATGCTTTCTTAGTTTTATATTTTAAATTATTGGTTTATTGATTACGGACTAACATTGTTATGCTTTATTTTTAAGTTGGTTTTTAAAGAGTCATGTTTGAATTGGTTCCAACTTGTGAACGTTTTATTTTACTTTCGTTTTGAGGTTGTGAACTCAAGTTTTATTTTGAAAGTTGGTTTTAACTTGTAGACTTCCGCTGTGTGACTTTGAAAAATAGCCTTAGCCATTATCACGGTGACTGGTTTTACCTTTTAGACTTCCGCTGTGTGACTTTGAAAAATAGTCTTAACCGTTATCACGGTGACTGTAATATTTTGGTTATTTCCTAAAAAGGGTTTTATTTAGAGTAAAAAGAGTATTTTCAAAAGGAGGAAATTACCAGGGTATTACAAAGTGGTATTTGGGAGCTTTGGTTAGATTTTAATACCACTAAGGCTAAAAACCTTTTTTTTAGGTACCTATGTTTTAAAGCTTGGCCAAGTGCTTATTTAATTAAGTTTGAAAATATTTTTTTAGAGGTCCGATTTTTTTTAAGGGGGCGGAAAATTTTCTTTCTTTTGTTTTTTTATTAGTCCGAATTTTTTTTTTAATTTTAAGGGCCGAATTTTTACTTTTTTTTTTTAATATAGGGGTCCGAATTTTTTTTAATTACTTCGAGCAACTAATTTCCGAAAATAAAGATCAATTTTTTTTTAAAAAAAATTATTATGTGTGCAAGAATGCGAAGGAATTGAGGTATGTAACTATGTGTTAATCGCCTTTAAAAGCATGTGGTGAGATTGGGTAGGAAAGAAAGGGGCATATAGGCTAGAATTGTATGTCTTCCTATGTGCATGTTTTATTTAAGCAAGGTGTTCAAGCATGTTGAATGATGATATGTATTTAAGTGAAAGCATGTTTATGTGGATTAATATAAAATGTACGATTGAACACCAAACTTTAATTTTTGCAAGGAACTATACATTTGAGTTGAAAAAGAATTTTTTGATTGAGTCATGACCCAAAATACCTTGCAGGATGTTTGATTTACCTAGTAGATTCAATGACATGGGCACTTTAGCAACTAAGGACTATGAGCATGTGTGGAATTATATTAGCAGGATTCGTTTTTTCTGTTCTTATAGATCTGATGTGTTTGGAGAGCGGCATCTTAACCAACCTGACTGTGTCTCAGCCATGATTGTTCATTGCTTGCCTAACTATCCTCCCTATGAGGCTATTAAGAGTCGCTTTCGTGATTTTCATTTGCCTAATGGTGTTGCTAACTATACTAAGTATAAAGACTCTAATGGTCAGTGGGGAGCCGATTGGAGATACTTATACCGTTACATTGCTCACAAAGAATTTATTTATCTTAACCCTCAATATGATGCTTATCCTCCACCTTACCATAACTTCGGTGATCCAGCTCCACAACAAAATGCACCTTACTATTCTTCAGAAAATTATGATTCCATGTCTGAGTCAAAACCTGAGCTAACTTATGAGAGTCAAGGTGATCCAATGGAGCACGATAATGAGTCAAGAGACACCTCATGCATAGTCGTTCCTAATCCAAATCCTCCAAGACCTCCAGTAATTATTAACTTAATATCGCACGAGTCTGACGAAGACCCTGATGAAGAAATGGATCCTGAGGAAGATGATGATGGTGGTGGTGGCAATGATGGTAATAATGGGAATGATCCTGAGTATAATCCAAAGAAGTACAAGGAGATAAAAGACAAGATTGACAATGTCAACATTTGAAGATCTTAGACTGACTTTTTCTTATTGTTTTAAGCAGTTATTTCATTCTTTATTTATAGTTACATTTAGTAAAGTACTGCGTATGAGTAATAAGTAGAAAAGCTACATTTGGGATATTCCAAACATTTCTTTTCCTTCTTTCTATAAAGTATTATTTATTCTTTTCTTATTCATTTCAATCTTCAACTAAGCCTATCAAGTGTCATTTATTGTTTTTATTTCTGTAAATGGTATCAAGGGAGATGACTCAAAAATATTTTTGTGATGTGCTTACCTAAGTGAAATGGTTACATGACAACCAATACAATGTGTTGAATTATCAGTAGGAGAAATGAATAGGTGCTTCTACTATAAATCAAAATGACTGCTTGTATACTTGGATTAAAGTAGCTTGGTTGTTGTCTAGTTACAAGAAAGTTGTGACTAACCTAATAGTAGTCATTTCTTTATTCAAGAGGACTAGGATGGCAGGGAGAAACAACAATAACAATAATCTGAACGAAGTAGTAAGGCAACTAGCTGTTGTAGCCCAATAGTTAGCTTAAAGGAATAACAATCCTGACCCTGCTGGGGAGTTGCTTAAGATGATAACCCAAAGTAAACCTCCTACCTACCAGGGAGAACCTGACCTAACTATCCTTGAAAACTTGTTGAGAGAGTTCAATAAGTTGTTTATGGCAGTAGCATGTCGTAATGAGTCCAAAGTGAGTAGTGCAGCTTACTACTTAAGGGGTGAAGCAGATTTGTGGTGGTAGCAGAATGAGCAAACTATGAGAGCATTACCTAACTTTGGATGGAACGTGTTCAAGGAATAAGTAAGGGATAAGTTCTACCCTATGTTCTTGCAAAATTAGAAAGCTGATGAGTTCTTGGAACTTAAGATGGGAAGTATGTCGGTGATAGAGTATTACACTAAGTTTATCGAGTTGTCTAGGTTTGGTAAAGATACTATGGCTACTGATAGGCAGAAAGCTAGAAGGTTTGAGAGGGAATTGCCTCTTTCTCTCCAAGGCAAGTTGTCAGGGCAAGTGTTTGACAGTTTGGATGAGTTGTAAGGTAGGGCAGCGCATTTACATGCGTTGGAGTTGAAGGAAAAAGCTGAAAAGTATGAGTTGGAAGCTAGGGAGAAAAGAAAAGAGCCTATGACCAGTTCTAGACCATATGGAAACCAGAACAACTTTGAGAAGCAGAAGTTTAATCACCACCAAGGTAATAACTTCCAGAACAATAGGAACAACCAAGGTGGGCACAACATTCCTAGGGGAAATAGGAACCAACCTGGAGATCGTAATCAAAGGATATACTATTGCAAGAGATGTTCCAGCAATCACCCAGGGAAGGACTGTGATGGAAACTTAGTCACTTGTAACCTGTGTAACAAGCAGGGACACAGGACATACGAGTGTTTTTTTTAAAAAAAAAGGTGGTCAAGGAAACAATCAATTTAAGGGTAATGGATCGAATTGGAATCAGTAGAAAGGAGGTCAGGGTAGCAACGGGAATCAAGTGAACAAGGGGGCGCAAATTCAGAGTGGGAATTAGAATACTAATGGTGGGAACGCACAAATCAAAGGTGGAACACCAGGGAAGCTTAATGTGATGGGTTCGCGTGAGGCTGACGCATCGAGAGATGTCATTACTGGTACATATTCTATAAACTCAATTCATGTTGAAGTTTTGTTTGATTCTGGTGCAACGTATTCTTTCATTTCTAAAGCTATGCTTCCAAAACTATCGCATCGTCTGAAAATTGTAGATGACATAGATAATCCTATAGAACTTCCAACTGGGGGGTATAGTTCATTGTACTAAGGTTTATAAGGATTTTCCTATAAAGATTAAGGGTAAGGAATTTATGTCCAACCTGGTTGAATTTGAACTAGGAGACCTCGATATAATTCCAGGAATGGATTGATTATGTCGCTATAATGCTGAGATTCGATGTCAATCACAGAAAATCCACTTAAAATGGCTCAGGGAGAGCTCGTAACCCATTGGAGGCAAGGAAAACCCAAACACACTAAGATCATTTCTGTGATGAAGTTGGAAAAGTATATGAAGAAAGGGAACCCAATCTATTTATGTAGTGTGAGAAACTTGGAATATGAGGAACCATCTAAACCTGAGGATATTGAGGTGGTGAAGCAATTCTCAGATGTGTTTCCAGAAGAGATTCCAGATATGCCGCCAAAATGAACCATAGACTTAGTACCTAGAACAACACCTATCTCTAAGGAACCATACATGATGGCACATGTAGAGTTGAGTAAGTTAAAGGAACAACTACAGGATTTATTGGAGAAGGGGTACATACGACCAAGTGCATCACCATGGGGAGCTCCTGTATTGTTTATGAAAGAGAAAGATGGTAGCATGAGGTTATGCATCGATTATAGGGAGTTGAACAAGGTAACCATAAAGAATAAATACCCTATGCCTAGGATAGATGACTTGTTTGATCAGTTGAAGGGTGCAGCTGTGTTTTCTATGATTGATTTGAGGTCTAGATATCATCAACTACGAATTTCGGAAGAGGACATTCCAAAAACGGTATTTAGGACGAGATATGGACACTATAAGTTTATAGTAATGCCTTTTGGGTTGACAAATGCACCTTCCATTTTTATGGACTTGATGAATAAAGTGTTTCATCCTTTCCTAGACCAATTCGTTTTAGTGTTTATTGGTAACATTTTGGTTTATTCAAAGAATAAGGAGGACCATGCCGAGCATTTGAGATCAGTGTTAGCTACTTTAAGGACTAACCAGTTGTATGCCAAATTCTCGAAGTGTGAGCTTTGGTTGGAGAAGGTAGCATTTTTGGGACATTTTATATCTAAGGAGGGAGTGGAAGTAGACCCTACAAAGATTGAAGCTGTGAAGGGGTGGCCTAAACCCAAGAGTGTGTCAGATATTCGAAGCTTCTTAGGCCTAGCTCGATATAATAGGCGGTTTGTGAAGGACTTTTCAAAGATAGCTAGACCTATGACTTCATTGATGAAGAAGGAATCTAAGTTCATTAGGAGTGATAAGTGTGAAGAAGCATTTCAAACCTTGAAGAAGAGTTTGAAAACAGCGCCAGTGTTAACCTTACCAGATGAAAGTGGTTCTTATGGTGTGTATAGTGATGCATCTAAGAACGGACTTGGATGTGTTTTGATGCAACATGGGAAGGTGATTGCTTATGCATCGATATAATTAAAGAAGCATGAAGTTAACTACCATACTCATGATCTAGAGCTTGTAGCAATAGTGTTTGCGTTGAAATATGGAGACATTATTTATATGGAGTGAAATATAGGATATTCCCAGACCATAAGAGTTTGAAGTACCTTTTCACTCAATCAACATTGAACATGAGACAACGTAAGTGGTTATAATTCTTCAATGACTATGACTTAGATATCCAATACCACGAGGGTAAAGCGAATGTAGTCACGGATGCTTTGTGTCGTAAAGTAACTCATGGGGTGAACGATTTGGCAGTTACAGATGAGCTTTGAAGAGAAATGAGTAAGTTGAACCTCGAGGTAGTACCACATGGAACGTTGGAAGGAATGCTTACTAATTTGAGTATCCAACCAACGATATTAGATGAGATTAAGGATAACTAAGTAGGGGATGAGAAATTAAATCGCATAAGGGAGAAGATTAAGCAAGGGAAGGCGACTGATTTCAAAATCCATGATGGTGGGAGTATAACAATTCAAGGGAAGGTGGTGTGTACCGCAAAAGTTTAAGGAGTTAAAGAAAAAGTTGATGGAAGAAAGGCATAATACACCCTATTCAATACATCTAGGAGGAGACAAGCTTTATAAGGATTTGAAAAGGTGAATTGGTGGCCTAGAATGAAAATGGAAGTGGTAGAGTTTGTAGCCAAAATGTCTAACCTGTCAGAAAGTTAAGATAGAGAATAAGAGACCACAGGGAATAGTGCAACCACTCGAGATCCTAGCATGGAAGTAGGATTTCATCTTGATGGACTTTGTCACTAGCTTACCTAAGTCTAAGAATCGAAATGATACCATCTAGGTTGTGGTGGATAGGGGTGTACAAAAACTGGACCGGACCTGAAACCGGACCTGAACCGACCTGATCCGGACCGGACCTGACCCGGACCTGTTGATTCAGGTCCGGTCCCGGTCCTTAAAAATCAAGGTTCCCGGTTCCGGTCCGGACCCGGTCTAAACCCGGGGTTTTCAAGTCCGGACCTGAAACCCAGAAAAATTGTATTTTTAAATAAAAAAAAAAAAATTCAAAAATCAAAATAACGCTGCTGCTTGAGTGACGCTTGAATTCTCTTTCATTTCATTCTAACCCTAACAAACAGGCTGTCTCCCCCTCTCCCTCACGCAGTCACGCTGACTGTCTCCAGTCTCAGCCCAACGCGGCAACGCCCACCGCCGACACCTCCTGCCTTCCTCACTCTCTCAGGCGAAGCCCAGGCGCCCACCGACCACCGCATGAGACAGCTACTGCGCGATTTTCCATTTCTCCGGTAAGTTTTTTTTTTTTTAATGTAAATCTAAATTATCTAATTATGTTTGGGTATTTTGTATTCGAAATAATGAATTAAGTGTTAGAATTTATATGTTTATTCATGTTTCAATTGCTTATAATGATTATTTGATGTTTGCATGTTGAATTTCTTTTTTTTACTTCAATGTTTTCGAATTTATGTTTTTTCTTTTTTGGTTTATTTTCGAATTTCTTTCGAATTTATGTTTTTTTTTTTTGGTTTTTTTTAGTTTAAAGTTTAGGGTTTTAGGGTTTAATGTTTAGAATTGATAACAAGTATGGTTTATCTTCGAATTTATGTTTTTTTTTTGGTTTTTTTTAGTTTAAAGTTTAGGGTTTTAGGGTTTAATAAAATCAGAAGAGCAGAGAAAGTAGTGATTAGATTGTAAACATCTAGTAGTCTAGTGTTTATCTAGTACTTTGCATTGACCTTTGGCATGGCTTCAAATTGAATAGTTCATTTTATGCATTCGGATGCATAAATTCTATGTTATTAGTCATTATATAAGCGTTGTTGCATAAACTTATCATTGCAGAAAAATGCCCAACTCTGCTATCAGAAAGTGTGCTCGTGTGCAGTTGATTAAGAATGGAAAAAAGATTGCTGCTTTCGTGCCCAATGATGGTTGTTTGAACTTCATTGAGGAAAATGTAAGTCCGTTCTATTAATGTCTGCAAGCATATATGCACTTACTGTTTCATAAATTGCTTGGTTGTGAATTTGCTGGTATTTTGTGCCTTTCGACACAAACTTAGTGATACACTAGCAGTTTGTTAACTGTCATTTGTTAACCGTGTTAGAAATAATGTTGTTTGTTAAAGTTTAAACAACTCCAATTATTTGTTAACCTTTGTAGAAACTCTTAAAGTCTAAACAACTCCAGTTATTTGTTAACCATTGTAGAAATAATGTCAATTCTGTTGTGGATTTTTTGGAGAAATACTGGCATCTGATTACTGAAGGTTTATTATTAGTAACAATGCTTTTCTTATACTCATATCATAAACTCTTGATAACAGTTTATCCAGAAACATATAAAACATGATAGTGCGCACTCTTTCTGTGTTGGTTTATCTGATTCTTCTGTCAGTACTCCTGCACCCACTCCTGTTCAGTACATGTGCAGCTTTATTTTTGTGGTTTAAGACTATCATAACAGTATTGCGGTGGAGAGTATATAGCTTGAGCAATTAAGATCAGTCATACACTGTTGGTTTTTTATCCTTTCATGAGCAAATCATCTGAAAAAAGTTGTTCTAAGATAATGCTAATTCATACTTCTTATCAAAGAACGATAAACTGTTCCCTTTTACTAAAGAAGTTACCTGATTGGTAAAAGAAGTCAAGGTCTTCTGTTATATGTATGTAGTTTAATGTTGTGTTTGGGTGTAGATTCATGCTGAAAATGTGGATCATGCAGAAGTTTGTGGAATTTTGTCTAATATTTGTTACCTGATTATATTGTATTTGACTTTGAAATTGATATTATCTAGCTCTGTTTTTCCTTCCATACTAAGAAAATGTGGTTTGTGCAGGATGAGGTGTTGATTGCTGGATTTGGTCGTAAAGGACATGCTGTGGGAGATATTCCTGGAGTCCGATTTAAGGTTGTCAAGGTTGCTGGTGTCTCTCTTCTAGCTCTGTTCAAGGAAAAGAAGGAAAAACCCAGGTCCTAGGTTAAGGTTGTTGGTTTTGTCTTAAATTTTGCCTACTCAAATGAAACTTGTACCGTCTTGAAATGAATACTGAGCATCCTTAAAAAGAGACACCCTCCCTACTTTGTTTTGTGCTCTATCCGTGTCTATTCAAGATGATTTTCTATACTCTTAGTTATTTGCTTATATTTCCAATTGGTTTATTTACTTCTCTTAACGATGTCATGAAAATTTCCGGAATTTATGTTAACAAGATCAGCTTTTTAATGATCTTGCATTTAAAAAAAAAAAGGTCTTTGGATCTCCTAAAAATTGCTTTAAAACACAACAATTAACCATTCATTCATTCTCAAAGATGATGCTTAACTAGGCATTTGTATTCAGGTATGCTTCATGGAGTGTTATGAAAGCAACTGCACTTATATTATTAATATATATTAGCTCACTTGATTGAATTTTTTGGTGAACATTTCTTGCAGAATATTCCTCAGAAGTTCATGGAGTGTTTCAAGGAGAAACTCTCCCCGTGGTGTACACTTATAGCGCCAAGTAAACACAAATGGAAAATCAGACTCTCGAGTACATATGATGAAAGGCCATTGGTGTTTACAGATGGATGGAAACAGTTTGTTCGTGACAATGGAGTGGAAACAAAAGTACTTCATATCGAATAGGCGGGATCTTAAACCTGGAGAAAAGAAAAGGGCTTCCAAGATGGCAGAGAGTTATAGGCGCAGCATGAAGGATAATAAGAGAGTGTTTCCTGTGTTTCAGATAGCCAAAAGTACTTCATATCGAATTTATGTTTTTTTTTTTGGTATTTTTGGTGTTTGAGAATTGGGACTTTATACTTTTATAGACTTTATGTAGTTTTGTACTTTTGTGATTAATAATTTTGGTTTGTATGTAATTATTTAATTATGCAACAGGTCTAAAAATCACAAAACAGGTCCATACGCAGGTCCATATGCAGGTCCAACAAGTTTTTTATTAAAAAAAATAAAAAAAAAAACGAAAAAATC